CCTTGGAGAAATAGTCGATCCGAAAGGGGAATCTCTCACTTCAATAAACCCGACTGAATCAATCTGGGCTACCTCCTGTCTCTGAAGAGCTTCAGAACTAGGCTCCCCCATACCTCCTAATGTAAGCACCTCAGCTAGAGGAAAATTTTTGCCGGGGATATCACCCAGCGCACTCTCGAAAGCCTCTTCAGTCCGAGGTAGCACAACAACGGAATCAAGTTCCAATTTGGAATCCATCGACTCTACAGTATGTGGGACAGTTAGGTTTTCTCCCCCTGCGGGTTCTTCTGAGGGATCATCCTTCCTTTCGCCTTCAGCTCGGGGACTCACTGGTACTTCTGGAGTTAAGGTTGCTGAATCAGCCTTAGGTTCTTCCATTTTGGTTTTCTTCGATTTCGAGGAATGATTCGACGACCTCCTTCGCCTTTTCTTCTCTTCGTTAGGTTCGGTGCATCCGCTTCACCAAGCGATGCTTCCCTCATCAAGGGGACCTCCCTCAGACCTGCGCAAATGCAAAATATAAACCCCGTGGAGTGAAGATGCTATCAGCAGTAGTTCTTTTATGAGATAAAATTATAGCAGAAGTAGAGGCTCACTGTGGTCCTTGGCTTCCCATCGAGCCTGGGACAGATCGCGCCACACACGCTCAACGTATGGGCAAATCGAATCCAGTTGTTTGACCCAGCTCGAGAGGTCCTTAATCGCATTAGGATACACTGCAACGGCTGCATCAGCGGAGGAAGTCAGTTCATGGGGAGATGTACCTAAAAAGAAACAAGAGAATATTTAATCAACATATCTACTTACGTTTCATATTCCACCTTTCAAGGAACGGCATCCTCTCTACTGGAATCAGGTCCGAAGTCCTAACTTGGACAAAACGGCATATCTACCCTTTGTTCCTAACCTCGTCGGTACAGGCAAAAAGGGCTTTCGAGGCCCAATAATGGAGCTTAATCAGGCCCCTATGGAAGAGTCTGGGAGTATACATCCTGATCAGGTGGTCGACAGTGAAGGGCATCCCCTCAATCGTGTTCGCATAATATCTGGTCATGTAAACAAAGCGCTAAAACGAGGGATGAATTCGGCTGAGAGTCACTCGGTATCGTTTAGAGAAGTCAAGGACCACAGGGTCTATTGAAGGTGAGGATGGCTCCACCGGGCCAAAGGTAAACGGATAAGTATACACACTGAGAAAGCCAGCCTTGTATGTCGTTATGTCCTCCCCCCGAGAAGGAATTTCCACCATCACCGCGTCCCCCCAGCGACAGTCGGCCTTCACCCTTTCGATGTCTGCTATTGAACTAACATATTGGGACATAGGTTCGCATCGTCCCGACTTCGAAGAAGGTTTTTTGGTCTTAAAATCAGAGGTCGTCTCAAAAGCTCCTGGAATACATTTACCGATGCGAGGGGGCATTATTGCTTTACCCTTAGACGAGCGCGAGGAAGAAGAAGGCATATCTTCCTGAGGAACAGAGGTAGAAGTTTTCGTCATTCTTGTTAAGAGATTTCAGAGGAGAAATGAAAATGGCCTTTCAGAAGAGAACACAAGGAAGGAGTAAGAAGAACTCTTTTGAGGGCTTGGTGGTGCAGTGGAAAATAAGGAGCGAAAGAAGAAGTATTTATAGAGGTCTAACATGCATGTTGGAGCGGGCCAAAGGACAGCCAACCGATGTAATTAATTCAAAGGCTTTTAAGGGCTGTGTGGACGCGACCTTTAGACGCCTCATTTTGTCATGTCAATCGCTTGGTAGGGAGTGAATACCGTCATGATGGAAGTGTCGAAGGCGCAGGAATTTGAGATCGTTTCTTATCGTTTTACTCTAAGAAATGCGGGGACTATCTGTATATGGGTAAAATCGGAGAGCCCAATTTCACTATCATTATGTCTTTCCATAGCTTCACCTTAAAGGCCCGGGGGCACAGTTCGAGGTTTTGACCTCGAGGGTTCTTTATTCCTGACCTCGGGGCAGCACAAATCGATGGTTATCATGGATAAACGGGAAGTTTCCTAGGCACGTGCTCAAAGCTGACAACACCTACAAGAATAGTACCAGTCTGTACCAGACTGCTAAGTAGATGTACCAGCTACATTTCTTTGTAATAAATGCATATGTACTATGTTGAGATTCATCCCTCCTATATAAAGGGGACCTCTAAATAAAAGAACATTCTCTGCTCTCTAACTTAAACACATTCTCCTTTGATTCTGTTATTTATATTTATTGCTTACATTTATTGTGCTCCATTAATTGTTCTTCATTTATTGCTCATTCTTGATCATAAAAAGCTCTTATCAAAGTTCTTAGAATTGTTAGATCTTCATCGGTCGGTCACAGCCAAGCGCTCAGCTCGACCTTGAGGCCTCGTATAGGCCATCTCGAGGCCCCGAATCCCGGCCACTCGGCTTGCTTAACATACTGCCTTCGAACCCTTATCTCATTTTCTAGTCTCACACTTAGCATTTACTGTCTAACAACTAGCATAAAAATAAATCACATATTTTTAGAACCACAAAATCAAATCTAATTGTAATTACCATTTCCAAGGTAAATAATTATTAATTTAATTTGGAGAGTAAAACAATGTGTTTTTCACTAGCCTTTTTTTTATAAATACTTTTGCAAAATTTTACTTATAATGCAACTCTTCAGTCAGTTTCTGAATAAAGTATATTTTAGTTTTAAAAATTAAGAAATCGATGGTTGATTTACACCACGATCTCGGTGTATTTTCTTTGTACGTGAAAGAGGATATTCCATGTTAGCTCTACCTAAGCTAACTCCTTCACAGAGTTCATTATGTTTCAACAGAGTATATTCAAAGTACAATCAAATAGCCTGTTAGGCCAAGACAAAAAAATCTAGCTTATTATGAAAAGTGTTTTTTAAAAGTGGTTTTTGAAAAAGTATTTTTTGGAAAGATTTAATTTGTGTTTGGCTAATTAATTTAAAAAGCACTTTTGAGTAATAATGTGTGTTTTACCAAGTTTTTCAGAAAGTGCTTGTAATTATTAAACGAATAAAGACATGAATAGATTTACTTAATAGTTAATATTATAAATAAATAAATAAATAACATTAATTTTTTTTAATTAAAGACAATAATTAAAACTTTTCATTTTATTTAAGTAGAATATGAAAATAAAATTAAAAATTACTTTAATTCTCTTTAAGATGATTTAAATATATTACAAAATTATTCAACAAATATAAAAGCATTCACCCCTAAAGTCACTATATATTAGAAAGCTATTATAAAAATAGGAAGAAACACTTACACATTAATATCCTAAGTATTAGTTCTAAAAATAAGTAAGGTTATTTTGGTATATACTATATTTTGTTAAGGGTATTTTTGGTAAGAAGAAAAGCCAAAAGTGATTTTGCTTCTGCTTCAAGGGAGAAGTTATTTTTTTCTATTTCTCGGAAACTGTTATTCTCCAAAAGTACTTTTTTCAAACAAAAAGCTTGGTCAAACACCTTAAGTTGGGATGGAAAAATACTTTTGACCTTTTGAGAAGCTTGGTCAAACATGCTACTAACAAGGTGTAACAAACACTATACTAGTGGTATTGTTCGCTTTGAACTTAAACTCATATGACAATAAAATACATCATTAGGATCTAAGGCATGCTTCCTTCCTTTAGTACAATGAAAGGGGACCAAATTCTCTTCATCGAAAATACCGTACAAATAGGGTAAACATGGTATTTTCTTTATATGTGAGATGTTGAATCTCCTTTTAACATAAAAGAAGTTCAAGTAATGTAGTAAAGGGAGTTTAAAAATTGCCTTAAGTCATAAGTTCAAACCCCGTGAAATCCTAGAATTTTTTTGAGTCCTATTTTATAAATTTTGATTTCACCACTACCTTTCTTATATACCCAACATCTTTTTTGTATTTTGATGATACGAAATTCGCTTAAGATATTACATAAAGACAAATTTTCTTGAGCATTATGCAGTATTTGTTCAACCAAAAAGTGCCATACAAAAGCCATAGGTGGTTCATACTCAAATATCTTGAGGGAAAGGGTACCGGCCTCTTTCTGATTATGTGGTAATAGCGACTCAGAAAAGGAAAAAGCATTAAGAGAAATATGGGGAAAAGACCGTACTTAATCTTGGTACACTGTATACATTATTGTCAATCCTAGGTAATAGCTAGGTCCACAGTTCATTGCACCCACCCACATAGTACTAGAAGATTGAGAAAGCAAATTTGTTCTGTATTATCCATATCCTTCTTTGTTCAAACTTGGTTATCCATATCCTAATCTCCTTTCTATTAAAGTTCTGGAATTTACTAACTAATTCCCATACATTGCTATGATTTAGTTCAAAAGTCCACTGCTTATGAATGAGTATATTAACGTGTCGTTCCTCTTGATTAATGTGAGTAGTTTTTATGACACTTCTTATTTTGAACTTATAATTAACAATATGATATAATTAATTTATTCCTAAACAACTTTCACCACTATCAATAATTCATACTCATTAACTATTCAAGTTCAAGACATTTTGTGATTTTTTCTTGATCAAAGAAACTTTCAGCTAGTAATTTGACATTTCTGTTACCTTCACTGATATAACATATATGTCAAATTATCTTAAGCTCACTGTACAAATTAATTATATATCACAGAGATTGGTTAAAGCAGCCATTCCTGTTGTCTAAATTATTTTGGGGGATAGGGTGGAGGGGCTGGTTGGGGGGGGGGGGGGGAATATCATTTATGGGTATGTTGTGTACCATACTTATATCTGGGA